CCTTCAAGGAGGGGTACCTCACTCATGCCAACATGCTTTGGAAGTACCCTTTTCAAGTGCTTTGCACAGCTCTAATCAGAATGTATCTAAAGCGGTTGCATCTTGGTCGTGTACATCTCAAAGTAGTTGACGGGAATCAAAAGGAGAAGGAACACTTCTGCCCAATGGCTTCACACAAACATCTGACTGGAAGTTGTTAGAACAGAATTCTGGACTTTAGCTAGGAATTTTATACAACTGCCGTTCGGTCTTATGATTAGTTAATAACATGGGACAGTAATATCCATTCAAATTTTATTTCATTTAGGGTTATAGAATAGGACAGAAATATTTCTGAATATGCTTTTTAAATGTTTAACATTTCCATTTATTAAGCTTCTTCATGCTATGCATATCTCTGAATATTTTAGACAGCAAAATACATACTGTACATGTGTAACTCAAACAATTTTTCTTCTTAAAGCAGGACATAATTTTCATAATCCCTTTTAAATTAGTAAAGGAAATATTTCTTTGAATGCTAATCTGTTCATAGCTAGCATTCTAGCATCCAAAGGTTCCAGGTAGAAACAATACAATCAGTGCTTTATATAAAATAATTAATGCAAGTAAACATAATTGACAGCTAAACTTTCACCCATAAAGTCCAAGCCATCAAAAAAGTACAATTAGTACATAATTCCCTTCAAGAAAATATCTGGCCTTCAGTGATAGTTCAAGAAAGAAGATACAGTGATTATGGAATATAGCTTACCAAAATATTTCAAGAACTTGCAATAATAGTGCAATTTTAAATCCCTGTAAATTCAGTAGAATTTACTTTCTATAAGGCTCATTAATCTAATGTATCTCAATATTTAATAGAAACCATATCTCTTTTTGATGTTGTTAAAATCACTTAATCACGTAGAATTTGCAAATCCTTCAGAAAAAGTATTTCCAAATATGCAGGAGTTCCTACTGAGCACTTCATTTCAACTTGTTAAAGCAGCTGTGTCTTTTTCTACACATGCTGTTCTTCAGAAACTGCTTCCGGCTATCTCTGCATACATGTACATACACAGACCCTGTGTTTCATTTGAATTAGCTGTGCAGGCAAACACATATGAAGACAGCTGGGAACAGCTTCCAAAGCAGCTGTCCACGCCCAGAAGAGGGCCTAACCGCTGCTGGTAGAGTTCAAGATGCAGCGCTTCCTGCATTCTCCTGTGACTCCAAAGTACCTCCTTTGGAGAATTTGCCAGCTGTAGGGCTTAGTACACTGAAAACACAGGATCGCTGTGTGGTAAGTACTAGGCATTCCCACTGTACAAGCATTGCAGTTGCATAATACGTTGCTGTAATGAGTGTGCTTAAATTACTTCTTAATAGAGCAGTGCTTTTTAAAACTTTGTAAAACTTCTAAGAAAAACAATTTGGAATCCAAGATTTCCTTTTAAAAAGCCTGCTCTCTCTGCTCCACCAAGTCCAGCTAATTTGTGAGGACAGAACGTAATCAGTGATTGCAATTAATAATAATAAATGAAAATGCATTTTCAATTTAAAGAGCATAAATAGCCAGGATAAAAGGAAAACTCAGAAGTACTGAAGGAAACTAAAACTTTCACCTGCACTTTCCTTTAATTACACAATGGAGATCTTCTAGTACCAAAATAGCAGATCGTTTTTTCAAATGAAAGGAAATAATTAGATTATCTATCAAGCATAGATAACCTAATTATAAGGCTCAAGTTCTGAGATTGTTGTTAGCTAAGGAAGGTAAAGTTTTAATCTTTCATGCTCACCTTTGGTCAAAGCTGATACTATCTATTCATCTGCCATAGTAAACCAGAATAGATTGCTAGGATCCAAATGTGGGAGCTACCTTTATAATTATAATTATTTTGTGAAAGGTTCCTGAATCTGATCCCAAACCCCTGCTTCCACAAACAAATTGCATTTACTAGATTAGGAAGGCTGAATTTGGAAGGATGTGAAGTAAACCTGTTTCAAAGTCACTCTTCTGGATAGAAAAAAAAAAAAAGTGCAACATTTCATTTCATGAAATTGTAATATTTTCCCAACCACAATTATATATTTGCACTAAAACATTTACAACTTTTTTCCAGAATATAGTAATACTTAAATTAGAAGTAGCGTAAGTGCAGGGAGGGAATTTTGTTACCTCTTTTTTTCTAAGTTGGTCAGAATTCATGGCAAACTTTACTTTCTATCTACCCCTTTTCAGAATTGTTATTGTTTTACTTCAAACTATTAAAAGGTAAAGTGTTACATAACTACTACTATCAACAGTAATTAAACATCATTGCTTTCCAGAACTCAAAAACTGCCTCTAGTAGTTCATTTTCAAACTTGAATATTCAAAATAAATTCCATATAAAAACTTTAACACTTCCTATAGCAGTTGATAAGTGATTAAATTCCAATTCCCACACTAGTACATCATAGTAATGAAGTAGTGACAAATCTATTCCATACTTTGGGATAGCATATTAAGCTATCAAAAATCTAATTTAGTGCATTTCATAAAAACTACAAAATACAATTTGAGTCTATGCATACATCAGCTTTCTTTTATATCAGTTTCGTTCAGATCTCACATTATACCAAAATATGGTTTGTTTGGTTTTGGCTTAGCAAGATGAATGAATCTTGCTGTTGTAATGTGTAAACCATGTTTTAAAACATAGCACTGTGTGAACAAAGTCACTGTGGCTTGTTGAATAAACAATATTTAACATAAACCTCAGCTTAATAAAAGTGAATACATATTTGTAGGTAAATAAACCTCCTGATACATAGATAAGAAAGGTCCTAATTTTCTGTATCAGAAGAACCAAGATGTGGAACACGTTCCATAATGGTGAATAGAGTGGAATGTTGATATGGATGTGTTTTGAAAAAGCTCCACTGGAACACGTAGCAAATCCTGATGGATACACCAACAACTGGTTTGCAGGAGTAAACAGGAGAGATGTGGGAGAAGCAATCAGCATTTTTGCAGGCAAAGCTACTTCTCTTCCTGCCCCTCAAACACCTATGGAAGCAAAGCAAGTGCTATGGGACATTCAGAGCCTCTGGAGAATCATGTTGCATTTTTCAGGTTACTGGCTTATACCTGGATACCCCAGGAAGTTACCATAACAAATCACTGCTTTTATCAATTAAAGGGCCTATCTGGAAAAGCCAAGTATTTGTATGTCTGTACTGAACAACCAGGAACAATGTGCTGATCTTTGGTTATATTAGGATTTTAGTTCCTAAATTCAGGAGCGTCTTTGTTAAGTATCTTCAAAATCAAATGGACACTACAGTACTGTGTACAATCAGACATCTGAAATCTAATCAGAACTTATTGTTTAAAGTGCCTTCAATCCAATATGAGAAAGTGCTACTTAATATGAGAAAACTGGTGCTTGTGTGCTACCAAAAGCTACTATCCTGTGTCCCTTTTTTCAAACCAGAATGTTATGTATCTTGAGATGCAAACCTATAATGACTAGAGTTAGAGTGTACTTTTAAATGCATAAACTATATAGCTGGAAGCCTGCATCTTGGTATCTACAGCAGTCCTGTTTAAGATAAGCACTTGCAGAAACTGATTTTGCAGTAAGTCTGATGTAACTTAAGAATTCTGATCATCAGACAATTTTCTGTCCTGCAAAAGTTCACATTCTTTCTTATGTTCAAACATGTTGGCTGTGGCTATTTTGACAATGCAGTAATCTCTTCTGTCTTCATTGCATCAGACAGGAAACTCAGTTCATTGCATAAAGTCTCATATCTGTAAGCCATTCGAATCTGTGCAACATTTGTCTTTCTAATGTCATTTCCTTCAGGCCCTTCAGCACAGTAATTTATGCCTAAACATTTCTGTTTTTCCTAGAGAAACAGAGAGGAAAGAAAACACCATTTGAAGAGTTGCTTTGATTTTTTAAAAAGGCAAGTGAAATCCAGCAGACTTAACAATTTTAAAAGGCTTCCTTCAGCAGCTGCCTCTTAAGTGTAGGGATTCTTCAACCCAAGGATCTGGACAATGGTCTCCATATAATGGTACTTTTGAGAGGAAGGAGGTGGTTTATTGAAATAAGAGAGAGAGAGAAACAAAAACAAAAACCTCCAGTCCTTTTTGCTCCTACCAAATTGATTAATATACAGAGAAAGATGGCTTGCAACTTCATGTAGCATCTATTTTGAGAGACCATGGTCTCCTTTGCTCTCTAACAGGCATGGTTTTATTTTGCAACAGTACAGTAGATAAGTAACTAGAGATCAGTGAAACTCAACCTGCACCAGCTTATGCCATCAAATATATTGCACTGAAATTCCCAAAATTTCCAGACAGCCTTTGATGAAGCTGGATGGGAATTCTGAGTGGTCCAAAATATCTGAAAAGCAGTAAATTAGAGAAGTCTGATATAAATCAAGGCCAAATTAGCTTATATATAAACAACAGCATCCATAGGAAAGGTGAAAAAAGTCAGGGTGACTATGCCCTTTGTATGTGACTTTTTTGACCTCCACCCCACAATGCTCCATATGTAAATTCATGTCATCTTTTCTTTGTTTCATACATTACAGTGGCAAAGGTTAATCAATATTGTAAACAAAGCTCATAGGACAGAATTTAATCATTTCTACTCCACGTACTGATTAAAGCCATACCTCTCTTCAACCAGAGATATTTGTCCTTTGGGAAAGACACCAATAGAGAAAAGACGCCATTAACTAAAATATCCCTATTACATGTGATGATCAGGCCCTCTGGTGGCTTTATAAATGAAAATAAACACACATATATTTACTGCAACATTTAGTTTGGCCCCTATACCCCCAAAAGCCTGGTGCTTACAGGAGCAAAGCAAATTTACCTTGTGTGACAAGCCACTTTGTAGTACACTGTTTCTTGCTATTTCACACAGGTCACAGGTGCTCAGTTTCCATACTTGGGCTGCTATGGCATATTCCTCCATCAGTGCTTCCTTCAATTATATATACAAAAATATATGATTTGTTATGAAACACATTCATTCATTCATTCATTTGGCCCCAGCAATGGGGCAAAGGGACTATTCCTATTAAAAGGAACCTTTTGATTTTGCAGAGCTCTTCTACTTTTTTCCCTTAATTTTCTTCTTCCCCTGCTGTCCTCTATGTTCCCTGAAAGCTTTCTCCAGGGGATTGGTGATGCCATCAGAACAGAGGAAGCAGGACTAAGTGTTCAGAGAAACAGGAAAATTTGGTGAAATTTCGTGTTCTCATCCTTTTATCAGCAAATGTCTTCCAAGTGGAATTCTGGTCAGAGACACTCTGGTGAGATCCAACCATTATAGTTTCAGAGCTGGGCAGCCTGTTGGGAGTGGTGGAAACTCAGGCCACAACACAGTTAAATTTATTTCTGCAAGCACTGTGGTTTATTTGGTCATTTTCCTCCTTAAAACTAGGTGGAACACCTAAACCAGACCAATTACACACACACACACGCACACTTCATAGGCCACCTACAGGACTGATGCCAATGACATGCCAGATCAACCGTGAAACATCTAAGAGAACTTGAAAACAAATGGTAAAGAAAATTGATGAGAATAGAAAGAAGTCCTATGAAAGTCAGTCATTTTATTTTTTAATGCTGAACGAAAGAAGAACGTAGGGGATTGGAGGCCACACTCCATACTTCAGTACCCAGCAGATGGGATAATGGAGAATGGCTTGAGAAACAAATGGATTTTGAGCATTACAAATGTTCAAGGATTCAACATTTAGGATTCAGACAAGTAAATGATTAAGTTATGAATGCAATTCTATGCACTCTTTAATGAGGAGGAACAATAACTGAAAACAACAGTTGCTTTCTAATAAACAAATATGAATTTAATTTAACAGGGAAACATTTAAATTAATATAATTTCAGATGAAATAAAACTTTTAAATTACTTTCATGCAAATTACCTTTGTATAGTGGAATTGCATGGGGTCATCTGTAGACAGAGAAACACGTAGTCCCTTGTGCAAGAATTCTCGCAGTGGGTTTTTTGAATACTCCAGGAATAAGCTGTTGTTGCTAAGAGGGGACATGGCAATGGGGATTTGTGCAAGATAATAAAGATACTGGAGAACTGGACTCTGTACAAAAACAACACCCAAAATCATTATTCATTTACACAGAGATAACAGGAAAGGAAACATTCAGCCAGAGGAAATGGAAAACCATTTCTACAGCTTGGGAACATTTAACCATCCCTGGACCTCTGGCATTATACGAGCTGAGTTGTTATATATATATATATATATACCCTTCTTTTGCACTGATCTATTATTTTTAAAAATGCATTTTTA